TTGCCTAAATTGCATAATCTTCATCCCTTTCTTGCCTAAATTGCATAATCTTCATCCCTTTCTTGCCTAAATTGCATAATCTTCATCCCTTTCTTGCCTAAATTGCATAATCTTCATCCCTTTCTTGCCTAAATTGCATAATCTTCATCCCTTTCTTGCCTAAATTGCATAATCTTCATCCCTTTCTTGCCTAAATTGCATAATCTTCATCCCTTTCTTGCCTAAATTGCATAATCTTCATCCCTTTCTTGCCTAAATTGCATAATCTTCATCCCTTTCTTGCCTAAATTGCATAATCTTCATCCCTTTCTTGCCTAAATTGCATAATCTTCATCCCTTTCTTGCCTAAATTGCATAATCTTCATCCCTTTCTTGCCTAAATTGCATAATCTTCATCCCTTTCTTGCCTAAATTGCATAATCTTCATCCCTTTCTTGCCTAAATTGCATAATCTTCATCCCTTTCTTGCCTAAATTGCATAATCTTCATCCCTTTCTTGCCTAAATTGCATAATCTTCATCCCTTTCTTGCCTAAATTGCATAATCTTCATCCCTTTCTTGCCTAAATTGCATAATCTTCATCCCTTTCTTGCCTAAATTGCATAATCTTCATCCCTTTCTTGCCTAAATTGCATAATCTTCATCCCTTTCTTGCCTAAATTGCATAATCTTCATCCCTTTCTTGCCTAAATTGCATAATCTTCATCCCTTTCTTGCCTAAATTGCATAATCTTCATCCCTTTCTTGCCTAAATTGCATAATCTTCATCCCTTTCTTGCCTAAATTGCATAATCTTCATCCCTTTCTTGCCTAAATTGCATAATCTTCATCCCTTTCTTGCCTAAATTGCATAATCTTCATCCCTTTCTTGCCTAAATTGCATAATCTTCATCCCTTTCTTGCCTAAATTGCATAATCTTCATCCCTTTCTTGCCTAAATTGCATAATCTTCATCCCTTTCTTGCCTAAATTGCATAATCTTCATCCCTTTCTTGCCTAAATTGCATAATCTTCATCCCTTTCTTGCCTAAATTGCATAATCTTCATCCCTTTCTTGCCTAAATTGCATAATCTTCATCCCTTTCTTGCCTAAATTGCATAATCTTCATCCCTTTCTTGCCTAAATTGCATAATCTTCATCCCTTTCTTGCCTAAATTGCATAATCTTCATCCCTTTCTTGCCTAAATTGCATAATCTTCATCCCTTTCTTGCCTAAATTGCATAATCTTCATCCCTTTCTTGCCTAAATTGCATAATCTTCATCCCTTTCTTGCCTAAATTGCATAATCTTCATCCCTTTCTTGCCTAAATTGCATAATCTATATCCCTTTCTTGCCTAAAATGCATAATCTTCACCCCTTTCTTGTCTAAAGTGCATAATCTTCACCCCTTTCTTGCCTAAAGTGCATAATCTTCACCCCTTTTCTTGCTGAGTCTTCACCCTTCCTTGCTATTTTCTACACTCCTATTAATACTTTAACCTTACGTCGACTAGTGTATAACAAATAACAGTGCATGAATTTTATAATTAAGAAGATGAAATCTTACATGAAACTATTGAAAAATCGAAGCCGATATGAACGTGACTCACGAATAACACGAGTTCCTTATAATTGGGGGTGACCTAACGTAATTACTTCGTGTCAACAGCTGCTCTAAAGTTCTTTAGTTGCTATATTAGTTTGTAAAATAACCCGGCATTCTTCCATTTTATTTTTTTTTTATACAAGCGTGATAATGAAAATAAATGGGAAGGCAAACTGGCCGGTTTTCAATGTCGACTAGGAACGCGTATAGATATATATAACGTACCTTTTAGGTCCTTAAGTGACGTCACAGCGATTCGTTAGTGTATGGAACAGTAAAGTGTACACGTGGAAGGGTAGAGAACGGAAATTGCAACAATGGCATACGGCAGACAAATACAAAAACCGCTCGTATGGAAAGTTTCCGCTAGTTTTTTTTTTTTTTTCGACGGGAGGCTTGACCACATAACCATGACGAAAATATAAGGTCATATCGTTAATATATAAACTCTCTTTTATATTCTTTGCAACTCTAACCGACTTCCCTTCGTAGCTTAGCGATGTTTATGACGTAGAAAATCATCGTTTACGTCATCCAAACGTTCCCTCTTCTTTGTTTTCTTACTCTAATTTATTAAATAAACCCATTTTATAATATATATATATAAATTCTAGTTTATATTTTCTAGACAAGTTATTTGTGCCAAACAAATATTTACTTTTTATAGAAAATTTTTCAATAATTAAAATTCTACGCCTATGACAACTCACAAACCATAACATTCGTCACGAGAAATTAAAGAAATTTTTTATTTTATTCTAAATTTTAATAAATAATAATAATAATAATAAATTGCCTTTAAAATTTTACCTCTGTTTTAACTTTATTGATCCTTACTTTTATATTAAGAAATTCTAATTTTTTAAATTAAATAATCGATAAAATTTTAAGAGATTATAGTGTGAGACCGTTGAAATTAATGAGAGAGGGAGAAAAATTTTAAAAATCAAACATAAAATATATTTACAAAACATAAAAATAACATTCTGAACCTGAGTAAAACACATACTAAATTCAATGCTAGTGCTTTTGCAGTATGTATGTGGAGGGGTGATGATGGCAGTCGTCGATATTTTTTATCTTTTTTTTTTAAAAAAAATCCCTTCATCCCAGTTCTGTAGGAGAACCAAAAAAAGGAGGGATTTTAACTGTATTTGTGTTAAATTTATAGTCTTTCGCTGTGTCAAGCTTCCGGATCCTTCGTTCTAGCTTCTAATCTTCTAGCCAATTCGGCCATCAAGCCCCTGTAATTCAGCGAATCCATATTCTTGCAAAGGAGGCTCAAGATAAACCAGTCGCCAAGCCTAGTTCGTTTCATAACTATATCGAAATATTCCTTACGAACTAAACGTGCACGTGGCCTGAGAGCAAAGTATCTACAGCGAGGAAATATCAATAACACTATTCTATAGATAATAGCACCTGCTGAGACGAAACCGAGGAGTAAGAACCAGAACCATAAAAATATGTATATCTTCTCGTTAACGATGTTAATGGGGAGTATACACATTGCATCGTGTCGTTGGACGTCACCGGATGAGCCGAATCTGTAAAAGGTGCACTTAGTTAACCTGGGGAACACTTCTATCATGGGATCATACCTGACTGACGAATCCCATTCCGTGAACTGTACGACTTTGATACCGTATTGGCTGAATTCACCACCCAAGAAGGCATCCACGAAGAATATCTGACCCACGACGTTGATTAAATTGAAAAATTCACATAGAAAATACTCGAAGGCGTACATATTGTGCTGTTTAAAACTGGAAACTAGATACTGAGCTAGTAGTTTGCGCCGCTCTTTCTTCTTCTCTTCATCCATGATGGGTGCGCTCATCTCGAGCATCAGTTGCCTCATGCAATCACCTTCCCAGATGGTCCATAGATAATGAGGAGCGAAGAAGAGGATGGCTTGAAAAAACAGCATAAAACATACCCACTGATAATATGCGTGATATATTCTCTTTTCTCCTGGTTTATATTTATCGACCCCCGGATATGGTACTTCGGAGCCAACGTTTTTGTGCCAAGCTTCCGGTAAGCTGAATGTCGCATGCACCCAACAGAAGGTATCCAAAACTTTACTTGGTATGTCGTCCCTCGATATGCAATCGATCGGATCACCTATGTACTGCTTACTTGTTACCACAATACTAAAGGCGATAAGTATGACCGTAGTGGCTTGATAGTGTAAGCGGAAAACTGCGTTATCGATGACACAATCTCTCCTTTTCAGAAACTTCCTGGCAGCCGCAAAAACCTTGTCCATCTCTATCTGGTCAAGCTGCAACATGATGTTATACGGTGCCGTACACGAGCAAAAAAACACGAAAACTCAAACCGGTTCTGTTACGTCACGCTCAACACAATTAAATAGAAGTGGCCCTCCTTCACTTCACCTCTTTCTGGTGTGAGGAAGTCGTGGAAGAGGTTTTAAATGGATTTGGGATACGTTTCATCATCTATATGACACTGCGATTTTTCTATATAACGTAACTAATTTTAATTAGCTGACGCACGGTGTTTTTATTAAGTAGGAAAATCGAATCCTCCTCTCGTAACATTTTCCTTCGTTTTCATACTGTACACGTTGTATATGTACGTAAAGTTGAAGGAATATAAAATGTAAACTCCACGGGGCAGTGTCGTGAACCAAGTTATTTGCATGAGTTGATTTAAATGAATGTCGGGATGGAAAACACGTAATGCATTGTGCATTGTGATGTGACGAATTTCAAAAATTCAAAATAGCGCCTATTTCTTTGCTGCTTGGCAACTCTAAAATTGTTTTTAAACACTTAAATTTGATATTGATACACGCATACAATTATCGTTTCTATTATTAATTAATGCTGAGCAGCACTATAACACTAAAAGCGCAGTAACAGGTGTCACTATAAGAAAAGAATTTAAAAAAAAAAACATTGCATTAACGAATTAAAAATCGATTTTAACATAGTTTTAACGCATAGAAACTTATATTATTTAAACAACAACACTTTTTTTTAATCTGAAAAATATCAATTTTATCAAGATCCATTGTAAATCAAAGATAAATTTATGTTGAGAACTTAAATATAAATGGATTTTAACCTGAGAGAATGTATATCACTTGATACATTCTGCAGAATGATTGGTTAAACTTGGATATCTTATAGATAACACTATCTGAATTTACCAGGGCCTCACCTAAAGGGTGACGTATGTAATAATAAAATAAAAAACACTTTAAATTATACATTTCAAGATTTTTATCAACTTTATTTCCATATAAAAATACAAATTTAAATCACATCAAATTATTAAAAATTTTTAAATCATTCATTGGGTGGAAACCTTGTTAATATTTTAAAAATCAAACATAAAATATATTTACAAAACATAAAAATAACATTCTGAACCTGAGTAAAACACATACTAAATTCAATGCTAGTGCTTTTGCAGTATGTATGTGGAGGGGTGATGATGGCAGTCGTCGATATTTTTTATCTTTTTTTTTTTAAAAAAAAATCCCTTCATCCCAGTTCTGTAGGAGAACCAAAAAAAGGAGGGATTTTAACTGTATTTGTGTTAAATTTATAGTCTTTCGCTGTGTCAAGCTTCCGGATCCTTCGTTCTAGCTTCTAATCTTCTAGCCAATTCGGCCATCAAGCCCCTGTAATTCAGCGAATCCATATTCTTGCAAAGGAGGCTCAAGATAAACCAGTCGCCAAGCCTAGTTCGTTTCATAACTATATCGAAATATTCCTTACGAACTAAACGTGCACGTGGCCTGAGAGCAAAGTATCTACAGCGAGGAAATATCAATAACACTATTCTATAGATAATAGCACCTGCTGAGACGAAACCGAGGAGTAAGAACCAGAACCATAAAAATATGTATATCTTCTCGTTAACGATGTTAATGGGGAGTATACACATTGCATCGTGTCGTTGGACGTCACCGGATGAGCCGAATCTGTAAAAGGTGCACTTAGTTAACCTGGGGAACACTTCTATCATGGGATCATACCTGACTGACGAATCCCATTCCGTGAACTGTACGACTTTGATACCGTATTGGCTGAATTCACCACCCAAGAAGGCATCCACGAAGAATATCTGACCCACGACGTTGATTAAATTGAAAAATTCACATAGAAAATACTCGAAGGCGTACATATTGTGCTGTTTAAAACTGGAAACTAGATACTGAGCTAGTAGTTTGCGCCGCTCTTTCTTCTTCTCTTCATCCATGATGGGTGCGCTCATCTCGAGCATCAGTTGCCTCATGCAATCACCTTCCCAGATGGTCCATAGATAATGAGGAGCGAAGAAGAGGATGGCTTGAAAAAACAGCATAAAACATACCCACTGATAATATGCGTGATATATTCTCTTTTCTCCTGGTTTATATTTATCGACCCCCGGATATGGTACTTCGGAGCCAACGTTTTTGTGCCAAGCTTCCGGTAAGCTGAATGTCGCATGCACCCAACAGAAGGTATCCAAAACTTTACTTGGTATGTCGTCCCTCGATATGCAATCGATCGGATCACCTATGTACTGCTTACTTGTTACCACAATACTAAAGGCGATAAGTATGACCGTAGTGGCTTGATAGTGTAAGCGGAAAACTGCGTTATCGATGACACAATCTCTCCTTTTCAGAAACTTCCTGGCAGCCGCAAAAACCTTGTCCATCTCTATCTGGTCAAGCTGCAACATGATGTTATACGGTGCCGTACACGAGCAAAAAAACACGAAAACTCAAACCGGTTCTGTTACGTCACGCTCAACACAATTAAATAGAAGTGGCCCTCCTTCACTTCACCTCTTTCTGGTGTGAGGAAGTCGTGGAAGAGGTTTTAAATGGATTTGGGATACGTTTCATCATCTATATGACACTGCGATTTTTCTATATAACGTAACTAATTTTAATTAGCTGACGCACGGTGTTTTTATTAAGTAGGAAAATCGAATCCTCCTCTCGTAACATTTTCCTTCGTTTTCATACTGTACACGTTGTATATGTACGTAAAGTTGAAGGAATATAAAATGTAAACTCCACGGGGCAGTGTCGTGAACCAAGTTATTTGCATGAGTTGATTTAAATGAATGTCGGGATGGAAAACACGTAATGCATTGTGCATTGTGATGTGACGAATTTCAAAAATTCAAAATAGCGCCTATTTCTTTGCTGCTTGGCAACTCTAAAATTGTTTTTAAACACTTAAATTTGATATTGATACACGCATACAATTATCGTTTCTATTATTAATTAATGCTGAGCAGCACTATAACACTAAAAGCGCAGTAACAGGTGTCACTATAAGAAAAGAATTTAAAAAAAAAAACATTGCATTAACGAATTAAAAATCGATTTTAACATAGTTTTAACGCATAGAAACTTATATTATTTAAACAACAACACTTTTTTTTAATCTGAAAAATATCAATTTTATCAAGATCCATTGTAAATCAAAGATAAATTTATGTTGAGAACTTAAATATAAATGGATTTTAACCTGAGAGAATGTATATCACTTGATACATTCTGCAGAATGATTGGTTAAACTTGGATATCTTATAGATAACACTATCTGAATTTACCAGGGCCTCACCTAAAGGGTGACGTATGTAATAATAAAATAAAAAACACTTTAAATTATACATTTCAAGATTTTTATCAACTTTATTTCCATATAAAAATACAAATTTAAATCACATCAAATTATTAAAAATTTTTAAATCATTCATTGGGTGGAAACCTTGTTACAATTGCAAGTCATACTTGTTCTATACAACCTTCATTTTTTTACATCAAGCATAATTTAATGAAGTATTATCATAAAAACGAAAAAATAATAACAATAATACAGCGCAAGAAACCCATTTGTAAATTAAATATTCGATTTACTGCACCTTATATCCTTATTTCGAAAGATATACAGCATATACGTGACGTAAAATGATGTCATTTGTTTACATTTACTTTGATATTTCTAAGAAGTAATTTGCATATGTTAATAAATTTTTTAATTACGTTATACTTTCGAATATTTTAAATGGTTATTTAACGTTAAAATTATAACGCATATCAATCAGAATGTAAAAGGATTGTATGGAGTCTTTCAATTGACAATGAGCTAACACAGGGGATTACAAAGCTAAAATAGCAACAACCTAAATTTACAAAACTTAATATGGCTACTGCAGAATAAATCAAAAAAATAATGGTAAATTAATTAAATTTTTTAAAATTATTGCGAAATTTTAGCACGTCCTTCCAAGTGTTTAGCATATTCTTCTATGGCATATTTGAAGTGATGTCCGTTTATATTTTTACTGAGTAAATACAGTACATACCAATCCCCTACTGCTGATTTATCAACTACAGTTTGTAAGGCATCATTTTCGGCGTTACTCGAACGTACTTGCAATATTCTATATCTTGTCTTAGCCGAAAAGAAAACTACACCCCTATATACGAGAGTTAAGCCGGTAACTACTGCCAATATCACGAACCAGAACCATAAGAAAACATATATTTTCTCGTTAACAATGTTAATTGGGAGAATACACATAGCATCGTGACGTTGTACGTTTCCCGAAGAACCGAATCTATGAAAAGTACACTTAGAAAGTCTTGGGAATACTTTAATCATGGGATCGTATCTGGCAGTCCAATCCCATTCCGTAAATTGCAATACAAGATGGCCGTAGGAAGAGAATTCGCCTCCCAGAAATCGATTCATCAGAAACATTTGACCCACCACGTTGAGGAAATTCATAAATTCGGCTAAACAATAACAGCAGTAATATAATTTGTGGTTACCTTTATTCCTGAGTAGATAATCGATCAGCAATGTACGCGATTCTTCCTTGCTGTCCGGTTTAAAAATCGGAGATTTTAGATCCATGACAAGACTCTTCACTCGATCTCCTTCCATGGCTTTCCAGAAGTATCTTGGAAGGTAAAATAATATGGCTTGAAGGAACAGAACGAAACATACCCATTGATAATAAGCGTGATGGACTTTCTTTTCACCTTTGACGAATTTGTCTACTCCAGGATATGGAACTTCTTCGCCAACTTCTTTGTGCCATGCTGATGGTACGCTGAACGTCGTGTGAATCCAACAGAAGGTATCGAGTAGATCGGATGGTATGTCGTCTTTCGATATGCAATCTATGGGATCTCCGAAGTATTGTCTTCCCGTTACCAACAAACTGAACGCGATCAGTATGATCACGGTTAAACGATAGTGTAACTGGAAAACGTAATTATCTATAACAGTTTTACCTGTTTGAAATAACTTTCTTAATCCACCAAAGAATTGATCCATCTTGATTCTAACTAGGCCTAATTCTAATCTCACATTTACTGCTTACGTGATAGAAAGTAAGAGATAAAAACTTTACTTTTGACCAATCAGCAACGTAATCTTTCGTTTGTTTAGTTACATTTTTATGGAATTTTATCAGAATTTTCGCTAAATTCTTTCGAAACAAAGGCGAAATCGAAATTTAAAAAAATAATAAAATAATTTATAATATTTTATTGTGAAATTATATATATACAGGCCTATATATAACCAGGAACTGAGTAATTTTTTAAATTTATTTACCGTATTCGAGAAATATTTAAGCGTTATCATGAATGTAGACGTAAATTACGATACAGGTGACGATCATAGTCCTTTTTAATATTTAAATGTTTAAGTGGAAGCGACTTAAAATAGCCTTTGTCTTAAATTTGGGTCAATTTCTCTATTAATATATAATCGCTTCCAATTATGAATGAAATTATAAAGCTATTTAATTATAAAAATAGAATAAAATTAATCTCAATCAAAGAGGCGATGTATTATTATTATTTTTTTTTAATTTTACTTACTTAAATTACACTTTATAAAAAATTATATTCTGCATTTAATTTATGCAAATAGGGTGTAGGATGTAAAATTAAAAGAGAAGATCGTGAAATTTTTAATTGCCGGCTGACACACGGACGGACGGATAAAATTATAGGCCTATAAGCTATTTTTTTGATTGAATTGGTAAGGAAGAAGGTATAGATTTTTGGCTTTTATTTAAATATATTAAACATTAGGTAGCTGCTCTGTTGAAATATTAAAGAATAGAATTGTTGGAAGGTGTAGGGGGAGAAAAAATAGGGTAAGATAATTTATTAAAATTATTTGCCAAGGAAAATTATCAAGTATTGGTACGTTTCGTGTCAGATAGATCTTATCTTCGGCTGAATAATTTCCTGGCAAAATCGCAAGAATTGTTAAATGTAATTATATAAATAGATAGATTTTCTGAAGAATTATTTCGTTTCTTGGACATTTATCAGAAACGCACCTATTAAAAGTATGGAAGGGTTTATGAATTCGTAACTCTTATCATTTGTATACAATGAATTCGTCGTAAGTAAATGCAATATTTAAACTTTTGCCTTACTTAAATACATAGTTCTTTCGTCTGTAAAACATAGAAAAATATTTTTTGATCGATATGCTTTGTTTATTTTATAATGGAGTAGTGAAAGTACAGCCAGTGGCGCGTCAATCTATGGGCAAAAAGGGAAGGCCCTAGGTTTCGTGGGAGCCCATGAAGGTATAACGCGCCACTGGTTACAGCGAAATTGAGGAACAGAAGTAAATGGTAACCACCAATTCGTCTACAGTTACTTTCAATCGATTTAAAAATTATTTATTTCTCTTACTAACCATAAAAATTATAAGATTAATGGCGGTGTCGTCTCAGGTCACGTAAGACTTCTGTAACAAATAATAAATAATAATAAAGAAGAATAATGCCAATGAGAATATTTCTTCTTCTATTTACTATAATTTTAAGCTTCTTGAAGAGTTACCGACAATATTAAGCGCATTTATAGATTTGTTAGTAAAGAAAATGATAGAAGTTATCAAGAATTTTGGTAAATTATATGCTATCTTCATCATAGTAAATAATAAACGAGTAAAATTCCACTGTAAAATACGCGAAAGCTTTCAAGTACTGTAGTAAAAGACTTAAAGGAGAACTACAGGGGTTATCTCTTGGCGCGTGGACTGTAATTACTTCAGTGTAACGACTATTAAAATAAATTTACACTTACAAAACACCTTTGCATTATAAAATTGTAATACGAAAAGAACAAAGAAGAAGAAGAAAAAGAATAAAGGAAGTCTCAGTAGGGGGCAAATGTACTACATCCTGTCCCTCCTTGTGGGCGCCTTTTCATGTTATTATTATTCTATTAATAAAATAGTTTATAACTAAGTAACATCGTATAAAAATGGAAGTCGAGTCTAGGATTTATTATCAAATTTCAAACATTACTACAAAATAAACACGGTTTAAGTCTTATTAGGAAACAACAGCATTGAAAAACTTCAAGTAATACTTCACAGACTACTTTTATAAGCTTATTTAACAATAAAATGGACTTTTGATAAACATTTTAAGAATTTAATATAAATATTAACTTAATTTCCTACTAATTAAAGCTAGAAGATTCACATCAAATGTTAAATTACATTNTATCTTCAAGGCCAAATTTATTATTAAAAATATTAAAACTTATTGATATTCAACGCCTGTCATCATCCTCTACATCATATTTATTAAAGATAAAATAGAAGATTCACATCAAATGTTAAATTACATTCTACATAGGACCGTATCTGCACCTAAGCTAAACAAGCTTCATTAGGGCCTCACGTTTTTTACATTTATCATTATTTATTGGAGGGGAAGGGCCTTTATATGTTATAGCTTAAGTCTAGCCTTGATTCTACATGCTAACTTATGTACAATTTATCAGAAATTCATCAATTTTCAATATTTTATTCCAATATGTAATTTATAAAAGGTTTATATTAGAATAAATAATATAAATTTAAATATCCACCAATGATATTTTTGATTTATATAATCCATCACATTATAATGAAACCTATCAATATTAATAAGCTANGGGCCTTTTATATGTTATAGCTTAAGTCTAGCCTTGATTCTACATGCTAACTTATGTGCAATTTATAAGAAATTCATCAATTTTCAATATTTTATTCCAATATGTAATTTATAAAAGGTTTATATTAGAATAAATAATATAAATTTAAATATCCACCAATGATATTTTTGATTTATATAATCCATCACATTATAATGAAACCTATCAATATTATATAAGCTATTATACAGCATCAAATGCTTCCACTTCACATTATGGCGATGGCATGAAATCAGCAATGAATATATACTTATTTCTTCTTAGAAGTTATTCTACAATTAGTTAATTATATATTATTATTTATAATTAAAGTACACGTCAAAAATTCCTGTACAAACATACACACACACGTATACTATTTTTAATTGTACTCAACAGAGTTAATATTTCTTTTATAAAGAAGAAAAACATACAAATTTTAATGAATAAACATACATAATCTATACGATATTTTCATTTAAATTCATCCAAAACTTTCTGAATTTATATCAAATTAAAGTTGAAACTAATGCAATTTTGAAATAGATCAAAATCAAAATTAAAAACGATGATTCATTCTATATAATTCTCATCTTTGTAATAAGAATTACAACATAAAAGTTTGATGTACTGAGGTACAGTACCTTACGATCTAAGAAGATAACATGAAATACATAAGCCAGACAACCGAACGGACACAGAAGTAATTATTATTATTTTTTTATGGGCCTGAGAAAAATGAGGTAGGGTCCGAACTAGTAACAAATGCGAGCCTCGTTGTATACAGAAATTAATAAAACAAATTTCAACACCCAAAATAAACTTTAAATCGTGTTTCTTTTTATAAATAAAAGACTAAATTTTGAAACCCTTTATGTAATAATGAATCCCTCTGTCAATTTATTCTTTTATATAATAAACAATAGCTCCTCTGTATTGCTCCCTATATAGAAGGGTCCGGTCCGAATGGCTTCTGTTGACACCCCCTTCAATCTAATACATATTATAATCATTTCTATCGTTAAAAATACTTAAGTTCTATTAAAAACTCTTAAAAAAAACTAGAATTAAAATTAATGATTTCGATTTTTTGATCCAAATTTAGTATAACCAATTCGTTCTAATTCCGCCTAGGAAATTAATTAACCTGTCAAACTGTCTATAACAGTAAACCATTGTTAAGCCAAGTCACATAACTTGAAACAGAATAGAATAATATCTTGTAAGCAATCCTTTAACTTATATTAGTGTTTATTTTTGTCTATGAAAAAACACTATAAAAGATCAAGTACACTATTACATTGTTTCAATTCGATAATTCTGATTATAGCTGATTTACTAAGTATTGACTTCTATATAGAAGCTTGTGTATATCCGTTATAAAACAAAGGAAATCGTTTTCTAATAATATAAATTCTAATAATATAAATGAGAGGAGGAAGAGCATTGCTGATTCATAGTAAAATATAATTGCAGTTAAAGAAAGGAAAAAAAACTAATAATAATACATATTAAATTAAAGTTATTTTGTGTTTATTTTATAAAATTATTCACATAAAGTGTTAAATATATGAAACAAATTAGTATAAAAATTAAAATTTCTCATTGTAATTAGTAATTTATCGATATTTTTATAACTTATTTAATATGTTAATAATTAGCATCATTTACTAGTAAAATTGTTTTACAGTCGACCCCCCATAACACTGTTGATTATTCCGTTTTATAGGAATTCATGTTGTACGAGTCACTTATATTTTACAAATACGTGAGCAGTTAACAGTCCGGCGCACGTATTTGTAAAATCTAAGTGACTCGTACAACATGGAATTCATATGAAACGGAATAATCAACAGTGTTATAGGGGGGTCGACTTGTATTTATATTCGAAATTCCATGTATTAGCAAAGGTTCAGAAATTATTAATAAATGACAATTTTAAAGGAGTTTTGGAGGATTTTTTTAAAAATTATGAAGGATTTTTAAAGGATTTTAAAGTAATCTTATAGATAAAAACACTGTACTGAGTACAATAGATAAAAGTATTTATTTCCTCAAAGTTGGGATGTTTTTTTTCATTAAAGATCAAAAGAACAATGATAAGAATGAATGGTTCTATAATTTTAAAATAGGTCGTCTTATTTACTTTATAAACACTTATAAATTTAAGTAAAAAAACATATTTGTCTAAAGAATAAGCGTAATTTTTTTTATGAGGAGAAAAGAAGTTATCACCTTATTTTTATATCTTCAAGGCCAAATTTATTATTAAAAATATTAAAACTTATTGATATTCAACGCCTGTCATCATCCTCTACATCATATTTATTAAAGATAAAATCTAAAACAAGGCAAAGTAAGCACTATATATCAGTGAAGCAGCCAGGAATTAACAAATAAATATAATAAATTACATTATTTAATAATACAGACGGCAAAAAGAAAACCCATTTAAAACGGAAACTTGCCTAAATGAAATCCTGCGATTACGGTTTTATTCTTGCTAATCCGGCCTCTCGATTATCCGGCACATCCCATCAAAATATCTTTCTCTTATTCGTGTTTTAAATACATAAAAGAAACTTGTAACATTAACTTTAATAAAGAATTAAAGGCACTCTCACTAATACGATATATGGCCGGATTAGCAAGAGTCTTTTATTTAACAAAAAAAAAAGGTCCTAGAATATATAAAACCTGTAAAACAGCAAGTTAAAGTTATTCTTTTTGGAGGGTTGAAGTCCCTAAACCTCCCCTTGACTATGCCAGTGTGAAGCCAAGGGAGAATTTTCACGCCTTTTAATTGTATAACACAGGGGCTATGCCTGTGTTGTACAATAAAAGAGGTGTAATGAATAAGCCCTAAAAAACCGTGTAGAACTAATCTAATTTTTATCATTTATACGCCTTAATCGATTATAAAAAGCTATACAATGATTAATTATCTACTACTTTAGATTAAATCTACTATCTTATCGCATTTATTTAAAACTCAAATGAACACTTATAAGGTGAATTAGTACAGTTTATGAAGATAAAATACCACATGAATAGTTTATAAAATCAACTACAGATGGCGCGAGAATGCATAAACAATACAAAATACACTAAAGGTTTAATTGTTAATCGTTAATAATGCATTAACTACAAATAATTAACTTAATTTTCTGTTTATAGTTGCGAAACATCAAATTAAATTACTGTAATTTAAAAAAAAACAATAATAATAATAAATTATAGCGGATTTAATAGTTTTATTTGTAATTAAATTAATGGAGCAAAGGTACTAATTAAGAAGAAAATACAGTAATCACACTTGGCTAGGCGGTAAGAAATTGTTTTATTTGACTTGTTTCATACATTTATAATGTAAAAAAAAAGTTATATTAGTTATAACAAATGTCTTTGAGGCCTCGTAGATGTGAGGCCTACTACTGGCTATTAATAGGGCCTGATTTAAATAAAATAAGTCAGATAAATCTGAAGATATTGTAATTTTCTTAAAGATTATATGAATGTTTATTGTGTAATTTGCATATAAATATTGGTAAGGGCCTATTAAGAGATTAAAAGAGGCCCGGCCATTTACTTCTCTTATATTAAAACACAAAACAATATTTATTAATAAAATTTGACAAAATATAAAGTTTTTTTTTTTTCTTTAATTAAGTAAGAAATGCAATGAGATGAATATTTTATAACAAATATTTTCAGGCCTCCTGGTAGGGCCACCAAAAGTTTGGTATGGGGTAAAGCGGGCCCTTTTTTCTCTTAGTACTTCCCTTTTGCCTTCGTTTTTTTGATGTAGAACACTTTTTTAATTAATAAATAGCAGTCTTAAATATTTTACTTTTTGTTTGTTAATAAAAATAAAATTAATTTTATAAGTGTAGGAACTACTACGGGGCCTAATTTTTCTTCGGGTCCGGGAAAAATTTCTCCAATTGGGCCCACGGCCGTCGAGAAGGAAAGCTGCAGTGGCACCTTATCCTCTAGGCAAAAAGGGAAATATATTTCTTATAAAAGATTGGTTGGGGCCCCACTAAGAGGGATCCCCAACCAATCTTTTATAAGAAATATATTTCCCTCAAATAATTTATGAAGTCAACACTATACATGGGGCCCCCTAATTCAAATTCGTCTGAATCCCATGAGGCTCTAACGCACCATCGAGGATCAGGGCCTTTTCACAGGATAGTTGCTCCGCTAGCTTCACCTTGAAAAGGGCCTATTCTACAATAGAAATTCGTTAATTTTAAAGTATTGGAGCGAAAATAATTTACGATAACGATAATAGAATAATCTACATACGCTGAATAAAGAGAATATTCATATTTTAAAATACATTTATTGTTATCGATTAGGGTCATACAAAAATAACGCTTCTTAAATTAAGATTTAAAACCCTTTAAGAAAACAAATTACATACGAAATATATATATATATTACAACAAACATTATGTTTTATAATATAAATCAATGTATACTTAACTAATACATCCTTTATGACAGATACGACAAACGAGACACTTCCCTTTACCGTTTAAGAGTACAAGTGTATATACTGTATACAGTCTATATAAAAATATATATACTCGTAATTAAGCAAAAATTAGACAAAGGCACTTTTATTTAATATTACTGCTGATCGTTGTAAAGAGTAAATAAATTAATTTATAAAATTTAAAACACTATTTACAGTGAACAAAAGCGCAAAAAGTAATTTACAGTTTCCTAAACAAGAAAACTGTAAATTGCTTTCTTAAATGTTATCTACTTGTAAAATAAATACAAAAATATATATTCTATATTTAATTATATCTAATACTATTTTAAGAAATGTACTTTTCTTTTTTGTTTTTGTACAACTACTTCATTAAAATTATGAATAAGTATGTAGCGCTTTAGACTATACAGATATATTGTAAAGGAATTAAAACAAGAGATCCTGCTTTAAAAAAGTCCTTGTTACTTGTTCCCATTAACACAGAACTAACCATTAAGCTCCCTTCTTGTTCCTTGTTACTTTATAATGCTTGTTCTTTTAGCGTAGGAGGTGGAAAAATTTGAATTTTATAATAATAAACCACTAAGTTGCAATAGAATCGCTGTTCAGACGCCTTCTTTTCTTCGGATTCTTCTCTTCTGATAACAAAATGGCCAACTCAGACATAACATCCCTAAAATGTATGGGCTCTATGTTCTTACACAGTGTATAAATTATAAACCAATCTCCCAGTCCGGCTTTCCTCATAACGGTTCTTAGATCTTGATCGGATGTAAGACGACAGCGTGACTTCAACACTAAGTATCTCAGATAAGGCCATACGATGATGATTAAACGATAGAGTATTATTAATAAACTCAAACCGGCCAACAAAAGAAACCAAAACCAAAGAAATATATATATCTTCTCGTTAATTATATTCAAAGGAAGTATGCAAAGTGCATCGTATCTCTGTATGTCACCGGAAGATCCGAATCTGTGAAAGGTACACTTGGTCATCCTGGGGAACACTATAACCATGGGATCTGTCCTATTTTCCTGTTCCATTTGGCTAAATTTAATTACGTCGATACCGTATTTGGTAAATTCACCTCCTAAGAATAAATTGATGAGGAACATCTGACCCACCACGTTTCCCAAATTCAAAAATTCGCATATTAAATAAAAACTAACGTACAGATCGTGATAGTGTAGATTCATGTATAAATACAATGCTAACAAGTGTTTATTAGTATTTAAATTAGGATCGGGTACCGGTCGATTTAATTCCAATATTAAATTTTTGATACGGTTACCTTCGTAACTTTTCCACATATATCTTGGTACGTAAAACAAGATGGCTTGTAAGAACAAAACGAAGCATACCCATTGATAATACTGATGATACATGCGCTTCTCTCCTGGCTTGTATTTGTCTATACCTGGATGAGGTACATCCACGCCTACCTTTTTATGAAATGCTTCAGGAAGAGTGAAAGTCGTGTGTATCCAACAGTACGTTTCCAATACCCTCTCCGGTACATCATCGTTTTGAATGCAGTCTATGGGATCACCTAAGTATTGTCTACTGGTAACCACTATACTAAATGCGATTAATATCAAAACTGTGAATTTATAATGAAGACGGAACACGTCGTTATCAATGGAAACGCGATCTACCTTGAGTAAGGCCCTTAAAGAATCGAAAATGTCAAACATGTTGCTTACACAATGATTAACGTTTAGAGCACATTGAAGGAGGAACCATCAACTTTTCTGTGCGTATGTCCACTTCCTCTGTTTTACATCTACTTTTCTAACCCCGGATGATGATTGGACTAATCGTAACAGATGTTTATTCAGGGTTCATGGCTGTCTATGTCTTCGAATTACCACAGATATTAATTCTGCGCGGGAGATAAAGATGTTGTTTGACTCCAGCAGAGTGTTTCTTCCCGTTGTGTTACTTTTTTACGATTTTTTCCCCGTTACTTCTAAATTGATTAACATCAATTTGAATCGTTTACGGCTTATGTAAGCGTCACGGAATTTAAAAAGTAGTTAATTTGCCCGAACATAAATTGAGATATGATAGATAAAGTATTACATTTTTTAATCTATAGAAGCATTTTTATATTATAAACAGATGTTATACTATAAATAAATGGGTTTAGAGTTAATTTAATGCGATCTTATATCAAAACTATTCAATCAAATTTAAAAAATGGCGCGCCTTCTTTTAGGTCATGTGTATTGTATGAAGTTGTAAAGGGTGTGTGTGTGTGCTTTTTTTTTATTGTACAACTTATCTACAAGCGTGAAAATATATATATATATATATATAAAAGTACACATCCCTACTTATAATTAACAATGAGATTTATCATCGTATGACTAGTGTTTTTCTTTTAATTAATAATTCTTTTCATAAAAATAAAATTTAGGCTATATAAAAGAGTAACACAGCAATATACTTAATTTGAAAATTAATTTTTATATCTTAAATTTTATTGGTTTCAATGATAATTGTTTTATGTTTTTTCTATTTTAAAAATGTTCTAGAAGGTCGTCGAATTAAAAAAAAAATCACTACTTCTCTTACGTCAAGGACGGGATGATATGTTACGTCAGAAGGGATGTTTGTGAAAAATTATGAAGTGTGTGTTGTTGAAGAATAAAACAAGTGTTATATATAAAGAATTATTAATAATTTAACTTTGTAAATTAAATCATATATTAATGTATCAAGTATAATTAATACACACAACAAATTTTTTGATATGTCAATAGTATACACTTTCATGTTTTGTAGTGTCTGTTTACTATTTTAATGTATTATTAACTCGATTTTCTAAGTTATATCCTTTTAAAAAGTTATAAATTAGGTTGAAATTAATCTAAGTAGCACATTCGGTATTATTTTTATATAAACATATATATTAAAAAAAATAAATAAAAGAATTTATAAAGTGATAATTAGTAAATGTAATTCCTGTAATTGGTTCTTTTTTAATCTATTTTTTTCTTTTTTAAAGTGATATTTTCTTTAGCGGTTTACAAATACAATCTTGGAATGAATTTAACGTAAATGATCTGTAGTTTTACATGAAAAATAAGACTTAAAGATAAACAGTGAAACTAATATCTTAGTCTAATTTGAACATGTCCTTATTCATTAGTAGAAAAAGAGCATAAAATATTTTTTACTAAAGTCGAAAAGGGATTTTTCTGTGTTACTAGAAAGAGGGTCAATATCTTAACAGATGTAATCTATCTAATTACTATACTTTAAACTAAATTAATTTGTATAATTAGATGTTATTCTGTTATTAACAGTCATTAAATATAATTAAAATTTTTCTTGTTTGTTCGAATGTTATTAAAACGTTTAAAACGTTGATTTACAATAAAGAAAGTGGACATTTTCATTTTAATAATTAGTATTAAATAATATTTAAATTTGATAAGAAGAAGAATGACAGATAAAATTTAAATAAATTGTTACTTATGCGAACCGTAAAAAGTTCAGTAACCAAATCTGTGCTAAAATTAAATAACCATATCATATTTTACTAGCTTATTAATAAAAATAAGCTAGTAATTAATAACAGTAGATTTATTCTGCTAGTTTTACTGACCTTGAGTGACCAAGAAAACTATTTTGAGTAAATTAAGAGAATAAAAAAACAATAGTAAAGAATAAAATTATAAGATTTCTCTTATTATTTACCACTATAATTGAAAATTAGATCGATTTACTGCTAACATTTCCTTAGTAATATTTATAAATAATATAAAGTTGTATAGCATACGTCAACCTTTTATTTGCAAGTTAAATTTCCATAAATAACTAATAAAAAAAAGAGCATTTATCCGGATATATAAATACTCCATAGTATAAGAATAACAATTATTATATAGTCCCAAGATATACAGCAAGAAACGTGATATTTCCTTTGGGAAAATGACATCATATTAATACATATGTAACACCACGTGATATGACGAAAATTAAAGTCATCAAATAACGAAAAAACAAAAACACTACGTCATATAATTATGAAATGACATAATAAAATAAACATAATTAATATCAGTAAAATTTTAATATTTTAAACTCAAATGATATTTATATCCGGTTTGGTTAGTGAAAATTCTAACAAGTGGTTAACAATCAACAAGTATGATTATGCTTATCAAAGTTATAAATTATAGAATGTTTCCTGTAATAGGAAAGAAGTGTTTTATTTATGAAATTTTTAATGGCGTTGTTGTAATTAATCGATCTGCCAATCATGATCAATTATGTACTCTTGTATCTGCTACTACCTAGCAACTAAAAGATGTAAGATTTATATTGTTGTTGTTTAATATATACACAAACACGACATAGTGTCTCCAAAAATTCAACCAGAGACTTGTTTAAATTCTTTGATCCAACCAGAAACGGTGTTTTGACATTTGTAAATGAATCAAACAATAATATGAGAGAAATTGTTTAAATTAAAAATGTATAACTCATCTCTTATCATTTTAAATATGCTTAAAATAAAAAAAAAAATACTTGATGACTCGAAAATTTCCCATTTGTTATCATAATTAATATTGTATACTATAATAATTAGATCAGGATTATATTATTGCAACTTTTAGCGTGATTTTATGAAAACTTATCATATTCATTTGTTTTTTTCTATGTAAATTCACGTTGTCTAGCATCGAGGAAGAATTATTTACAGTGGTTTAGATGCATTCTCTTGATTTAAAGGATATTAAAAAATCTCGAAGATAAATTAAATTATAATAGAAAAATCACAAAAGTAAATAATTAATAAATTAAAATAGTATGAACTTTGTGAGTTAATACTTTTGAGAATTGTATGTTTTAATTTTGTAAATTTCGAATAAAAATTGTGTTGTTTCATTTAAAATTGTTAATATATTAAAAGAAATGTTTACAATGCTATCGTTTTTTAAATATTAATACCTTTTATTTATCTTTTAAGCTTGTTATAATACAAAAATTCTCAATGTCAGCTCTTTAATAATATGACAGATATTTTATATCAACACTTACTGATACCTGAAATTAGAAGTGAAAATTGCTATTTACACTTACTTCTTTTATCTAAAGCAGATAACATTCGAATCAAAACCTGTAATAATAAAATACATAAAATTATCAGTAAAATAATTTTTAAAAAAAATTATTCCTATTGCCATTATTTTTAATTTGCTCACCTGGCACAAGACAACAAACGCTGTAAACGGTGCCGCCATCTTGTTGTTGAAACTGAAAAGAAAAGAATAGTGAAATCGTTTATGTACTTTACTTTAAAACGTGACAAGGATGACCTAGTCACAACATCACGATGATAAGGGAGTGGAATAATTCGGGTGGTTCACAGGAAAGGATAAAACACCCACCGAATGCCCTATATTCTAGACTAATATAGCAAGAAATTTATGAGTAAACAACATCTTTTTAAATGTTCATTTCACGAAAAGGGAAAATTCCATATCTCAGTCTAATAAATCTACAGAGAGAGTGCAGGGTCAAGGTTAGTGTCGTTAGCTGCATCCTGTCAACTAGAACATGTCAGAGGTGGGGGAAAAAAAGTCAAGGTTGTGCCATAGGTCCAATCATTTGCATTTCAAGAAAACTGTAAATTGTCATTTACTGTTATAATTTATATAGATGTAATTATGCTTATTCGTTTATTTATANATTATCTTAGTTTTATTTTATGTAAAATTTTTGTTGTAGAATTTTATAATTAACGAAATTTAATAACTTATTAATTATAGTAGTTAAAGTAAAAATATTAAAATAAAACAGATTTAATTAAATTATATTTGATTTACTTTCGATTAACTTCAAAAAATTTTAATTAGACTTGTAATTAAGGGAAGAATATTAACTTAATCATATTTTAATGCAAATTAAGGTGGTATGGTACGCAACAAAAATTGTTTTCTGACCTCGAATAAAAGGCTGTACGCGAAAATAAGGCGTTAACCGTTTGAGATAATTTTATTTTGAAAAATTTTAAATATTTATTGAATTCAATAATGATTGTTTAAAATTAATTTTTAAAGGGTAAACACTGAAGGACATATTTTAGAAAAATTATCCTTTCAGTATTTACACGTAACTGGAAGAGTTTTTTTTTTTTTAAATTTAATTTAATTCAAAAACCTCGTCAGTTTCTTTTATGAAAATCCTAACATTTAAGAAAATATTAATTCCACCCATTATTGTGAAATATGAATATAGTTAAGAAATTCTTTAAATAATATGCTCTTAAAATAACATCTTTAAAATAAATTCTAGTGGAAAATATGATTTCGACTCCAATATAAAAGAAAAATAATAATAAATTTTGTAAAGTGATAATTTTTAAAAGTTTTTTTCCACTCAAAATTTTGAAATATGTAACTTACACGAGATTTAATAAACATTAAAGTAAATAATAAAATTCTAAATATTAACGCAGTGGTTCTCAATCTATATTCTGTATACTTTCACCGATTGTTTCTACGAAAAACAGATTTTTAACTTTATATTATTTGCTTCTTTTCCTTTACGTTAGTTTTAATACTTTAACTCGTCACGAAGACTTACTTATATTAGGACTTATTACATCAAGTGAGGAAGGAATCACAAACACTAGAGATCAGCAATCATATCGGACATCATATTAAGCCGGATTTTTAAGTTTATATTACAAGTTTATTCTAATTTACTACAGGACAATATTTATAAATAATTGCATGTTTCTAATTTATTCGATACAGTAAAGTTTATTAGTTTACTTCATATTCAACATGAATTCCTCGACCTCAGAAATGTTGAGAACCACTGTATTATCAGTATTGATAATGATTTACTTTGAAAGTTTATTAAAATATTAATTAAATATTGAACTGACTTACTAATTTCTGATCACGGGAAACATTGTTCTGTTTTCACCAAAAGCATCACAGTCTGAGACTCTTCCTTTGTACAAATCTTAAACAAATGTATAAGCTTAGTAATCTTTACATCACTCTTTAAATTAAATATGTATAAAGTATATTTTCGGATATATTTAATTATAATAAATGATGATACTTACTGCCGTCTCTAATTGTGATTTCCAATTCGACTACTTGACCCAATCGAACTGTTTCGACAAAAACATCATTTTCAAAATCATATACTCTTAGAAGAACTTGAGGTGGAGAAACACTATCGGTAGAAGCACTTATATTAGCGGACGGCGCCCTGAAAGGATATTTACTTTAGAAGAACAAGTCTACTTTATATACTGTAAAATATATATATATATATATATATATTAACTACAACAAATTAATTATTAGTAAGATTAAATGCGAATTCCAAAGACTTACAATTGTATGTTATGAAATTTTGTAACATTTAAATTTATTCTTTATTCCAGAAAAATAAACTTGTTATGACACTTAGTAAATTCATTTACTGATCCGCCTTTTTTTGATATGTGTATGGAATATTTATAACATACCATTTAGCAAATATTAAAATGTTATATATAATATAAAACAGCATTTATTAAAAATTAATAACGAACGATTTATGTAATTATTTTAGAAATTATTCTGTAAATATTTACTTGTTAATAAATCAAATAATTTTATTTTGTCAGTGCTTTAAAAGGGGAGTTGAGAATTTTTCCATAGGCCCGAATAGTTTACTACACTCTATAAGATTAATATTAGTAAAAATATCAGAAAATAAAATCTTTAATACTTCTTTTTATTAATAAAAAGCATTTACGTGTTTCAATTATTCAAAAAAAAGGGGGGAAGAGGCTTGCTGTAGTCATACAAGATCTCGAAAGCTCAGTATATAATAAATTCTGTAGGCCTGTCTACTTTATTAATTTATATATATATAATATAAATTTTATGTCATATTTATTCTATTTATATTTATTTCCATACCAAGATTATTCATTATTATTCAAATATCAATAAAAAGTTGGCAAGAATCTTATTTATGCACGTTTTTAAATGCTATGCAGTAATCGTTTCTGCGTGCAGATGGCAATATAATTGTATTCAGCTCTCACGCATCATCGTTGGCATTCCTTACATATTTGATAGCCTCATCGACAGGACCGGATTTAGACTTGTTATAGCCATAAACTATAAGAGGCCTTTCCCTCTGCCAAATATTAAATTTAGAAGCGTCAGCCCTAAATTATAGCTTGCTAGTGAGAGACTTTAAGCTGAAGATTGTTTAGCTTACTTATTGATAGATAAAATACATAAAATATAGTTAAAAATCCTTTAAATTAAGAATGTTTTATTAGTTTTATCGAAATAAGTAACTGTCCATCTTAAAAACATGAAATTAATTCTTGTTGTACAGAATAAACATTTTTTTTTTTTTTTTTTTTTATAAAAGCCTTCAAATCTTGCCATCTCGTAGTGGCTCTACCCCTATAAATTAACGTTAATTTATAGGGATAGGACCTTTTCACGGGCCTGGAGAAAAATCCCCAACTCCTCCTGGTCTATGTATTATTATAGTATGTAAGTAATGTTTGTTTAGAGTCAAGTGATCAGTCTCCAAAAAATCTACAGTAAATATATTAAAGTAAAATTAAGTTTCGTGAAAATGATATTAAATTAAATTTGTACTTTATTACGTTAACACACAAAGTAAATTAAGTCGTTATTCGTTAATCAAAAATAAAAATCTTTCGATAAAATTCCGATAATATATTAAAAAGTCGTAAGAACATTTTACAATAAAAAAAATAATAAAACATAAACTAATTTACATGATAGTAAATTATCCTGAATGATTAATGAGAATAAAGACCTAGTTAAACAAAAGTACTAGTTAAATAGTTAATCAAAATGTGTAAATATAGCTGATGACAAGTGCATAATTTAACTTATATTAATGCAATTATTTAAGCTATTTATTAATTAAATTTTGGTCAGCTGTTAAAATTATTTGATTCTCCATTCCAGTAATACTTTATCTAATTCTTAAATATATTAACATTGGCATATTATTTTATATATTTCAATGTACTGATGTGATATAAATTAGTGTACAAGTATATAGGTATATTACTTAGCTAACTATTTTATAACGTGTGTATATTTGTAAATAATCTTATTTGTAAGTAATACCTAGATGTATTTTTAATTAAAATTTATGATTATTGGCGAGAAATCTTCCAATGTTATTAAAAATAAGTCGCAAATAATCATAAATTTTGAAATACGTACAAATACAATCATCATGCAAACACTTATATCGAACGAAGATCTTTTAGTTCCTTCAAAAACCTTTAAATTTAAAAAAAAAATACACATAATAAATACATTACGATTTATAAATTTCCGGAAAGAGAGAATATTTAAACGATTAAATTTTTAAAAATTAATTTTATATTCAAAATTTATGATGTTATCAAAATCTAATCGACAAGGAAGTAATTATAATAAGTAAATAAATTATACAAGTCAGCTTATATAATTTATTAATTTATCAAACTTTATAATAAAGTTTAATATCAGTATTTAACCTTTACGTTAATTAAAAGTTTTCGTAAAAATATGAAACATATATTAATTATAAGCTTAATTTTCAAATGTAATTTGTGATAAATTTTGCAATAGAAATAATTAAACGAATATTTAAATTATTTTTTTATATTTCGAGTGAATTTCCTTGTATTAATGAATTGTAATATCTGATTTTCGAACTGTAAAATTCTTTAAAAAAATAGAAATTCACACAAAAAAGATGGATTTCTTCAATTTTTTTAATGTAAAATTATATTTAAAATATTTGATATAGTTTTATATATAAGATTTATAGTATTACATGTGTTTTCTTCCTGACTGAATAATATTATATAGGCTATAGTAACAATTATAATTAATATTATTCGAAGCTGTGTTCATTATTTTATTTTCTCCGACTATTTCTATATAGTTTAATTATTTATATCTTAAAAAAATTTACTGTTTAAACTCAATCAATGTCTCTCAGACTTTGTGAACCTGCTACACAGCTGCAACTTTATGAAGTCCTTTGTTACTACACTTTTATCGCCTTTTTTATTTTATGTTAACATCAAATATAATTGTTTCAGTTGAACTTCCTAGCTATAAGTAAACGGCCGACTTACGTGACTTCCATATTATTTCCGCTATCAATTTGTATATCTCCAGAATACATTTTACATCCTACTTCATACTCTCCATCTCCAGAACTAACAATCAATGGATGTTGTTGAATAGTTATTCTATTCATAAATAATCCTGTATCTTTCTGTAAAAAAATATATATATATAATAAAATAAATAAATAATAGCAACATAAATAAAAGTACTATTATAGCAAAGGAAGATAATTTACTTTTGAAGTATTGCATCCTAAAAATGGTATCTTAAGTTTAGTTGTATTGTTACCATGACCATGTATCACACATCTAGGATCATTATACTTAGAAGTAACATATGCAAGACCCAAAAATGGTATATCTGTATCTATAGTCACAATTATATTTTCAGGATCATTATGACAGTCGACAGTAACTGAAATTAAAAATAAGATAATTTTTTTTATTAAAATTAAATTCCATTATACTATACTAAAGTTAAAAAATCGATATAAACTTTCATATAATTAATCGTATCT